CAAGGCCATCCAATATATCTGCTATCTGTGAGCAGAACTTTGACTGGAGGCTCTGTGGGACTCATGGGACAATGTATGGAAAAGGTACAAGTGTAGAAGTGTGGGTGTAGGAGCTATAGCAGCACGGGCTGGAGACCCTGGCCAGGCTGGTCTGTGAGTGTGATGTGACTGACTGTCTCTGACCCCTACACTCTGCTGTTATGGCATTCTTCCCTGCCTACATCTGCATTGCTGCAGACAGCATCCACAGCAATCCCATTCCAGGAGGGACACATCTCTTTGCTTCAGATACCTGCTGTTCAGCAAAGCTCTTGGACAGATGGGACTGGGAGCTTGATGGTGAAATGTGACTAGAGTTTGTTGATGCTTTACAATAAGCCGACGTGTGTTGCCATCCTGGCGAGAATGTGTGTAGGGCTGCCTGGAGTTGTTGAATTGCGGGCTGCCAAAGTGCTGATCACAGATGTTTGATGCTCAGCGGGTGTATTGTCTTACCTGTGGCTTTTTCTGGTTCCTAGGAAGCTACTTTGCCCGAGATGCCGACTATTCTCACAACTACTGTTCTGCTCGCAATGGTCGCTACACCATGTTTGTAGCTCAAGTTCTTGTTGGAGACTTTGTTCAGGGAAACTCTGAATACTGTCGCCCTCCACCCCGAGCCAGCAATTCAAACAGTCTTTATGACAGCTGTGTGGATGACCCAAGAGACCCTTCCATCTTTGTCATCTTTGAGAAGCAACAAATTTACCCTGCCTATATCTTGGAGTACAGCATTGAGGCCCATTGTGTGGTCCTGTAATGAATGGTGGAATCTCCTTTGAATTCGCACTGAATAAATTACTCCTTAATTACTTTTTTTTTAATCTTTGTTCAACTTTAGTAGTAGCTTTGGAACACTTCATAATGTGATTAACAAATATCATTCCCCTAATGGTTTTGAGGTATAGTTTTTTTGGTAGGGGCTATTCTTTTTCCAGCAGAAAGCGCTAAACTTTAGTATTCATTCTAGCTTGTAACAGGGATGAACTTGCCTTGCATACCCTGATACAGTGACACCTACTGCTTCTGAAAGCAGCAGCACTGAGTGTACAATTAACTGATACGACCACTTAGGATTGATTCCTGCCTGTGCTGGTACTGATGTGCCAAAGGGAGACTGGGCAAGGAATGTGGAAGAAGGAAAAGTGAAAGTACCTACATCATGGTGCACAAGAGAGGAATCATGGCCTCTCTTTTCAGCAAACGGTAGGAAGCTCCTGCATCCTGGAGGCTTTGCAATTAATGCTGGCAAAGGACTCTGCTTTGTTTCCTGGTCTCATTGCTGACATCTCTTCTCACCTTGTTCTGCTATGTCAAGTTTGACTGCCTCTGCGACACCCTGTCCTTCCTCTGTCACCGCTGGGTTTAGGTCAAGAAAAGCAGGCATATTGCAGCTGCTGAAGTTGAATCCCCCACCATGCCATGACACCGACAGTGAAGAAGTCTGTGGTGAGCTCAATAATGGCACACAGCAGTGTCCCACCAGGGCTGCAGAGCCACTGCCTGCAGCAGTGCGCAGTGAGACAAAGGGGCTGCGTGAGGGTGGCCACTGGCACGGCCACCTCCTTTCCACCCTGCAGGCTGAAGCTGGTGGTGGCTATTTTGTGTTGCCCTGCTGCTGCCTGGCACTCCTGCCAATGATTGAGAAGTTTCCCAGTAATGTGTGCTTTGGCTGGGATGGATGTGGAGGAAGCTTGGATGGTGGTCATAGTACTTGAAACTTGGTGGATGGTGGGATAACATTTAGCGTGACCCATATAATGGAAACAAAAATTTATGGTTTATTTTAAAACAGTCTTGATGTATAAGCTGTCGTAATTCAGCGAAGGAGTCACAAGTGGTTCGACTGTGCATGCCATAGGTGGAAAGAACCAAGAGGAGGGATGACTGTAGGATCTCATCAGCTTTCCTAAAGCCTGTTACTTTGAGGCACAATCAGTGCCCTTAGAAAATATCAGAAAGACAGCTGACTTCAATGAGTCCCTGGGCTGCCCTAATTCATGAACTTCCATGTTCCACTGCTTTTGCAGGAGCTTAAAGGTTGTTCTGTTACAAATTAATGATCTAATCTTATCAGACACAGGTGAGCAGAGAACTTTCCATGCAATCAGGAAGTAAAAATGAAAGTCATTTAAATAGACTTTTTCCTGGATATAAGATATTTTTTATTTAAAAAAAAAATAAAAATAAGGAAAATACATACCAGCTGCCGCACACCTTTCTCAATAAAGAAAGTGGTGTACTTTTAGTGAACAGTTTGTTGCTCTCCTGTACTGTCAATACGACTGCATTGGAAAACTGCTGTGATTTTGTAGAGCTGTTTGCCATGGATTTGTCAGTTGTCCTAGGTCTGCATCCTGTGCCTTGCATGAACATGAATCTGAGCATTATTTGTACAAACAATAACAGAAAGTCTGTTTTAACATGATAATTTTATAAGTAGCTGGGATTGCATAGAGATCTTCTTTGTTTTACAGACTTGCTGTCTGGCTGTGGCACCCAATTATCCTCAGGACGGGAAGGGACTGAATAATGACCATTTTCAGCTGTCACCTTGCTTTGATCCTTGCAACATTGCACAAATTTTCTCCATGGCTTCATCAGCTTATGGGGGGTTGCATGCGCAGCCTATGGACAGGACAAGGGCATGGAGATGGAGGGTTTGGGAAGAGTTTTGGTATTAGAGAATTATGAGAGTTATTAGAGAAAATGCTCTGTGGATTGATGCCTTTATATGGACCATCTCCTCCCATTCTTCTCCTCCATGACAGAAGAAACCATCCATCATGTGGGAAAAAGTTGTTTCCAGCAAGGTGGGAGTATGATTGCCAAAATCATCAGGGGCAGGAGAAAGTAAGGGAGAGCCTGCTGAGAAGCAGGCCAGCCACTGAAAACAGGGGTGGGGGTGTAGATCTGAAATAGAAGAAACTGGGAAGAGAATAGAGAACACGTGCAAACATGCACAGTTGGGAACAAAATGAGATTTTCCAGTAAGTCAAAACTATTTCTAACTGCAGTAAGTTTCTTGCAGCCTCCAGCTGCCTCCAGAATTAGGTGCTGGGTGTTATATTGAGAAGGTCAGACAGATTCTGGTGTGAGCAGCTGTAACAGTGTGCTGATGTGGGATTGCTGTGGGCTCTGCAGGTGTACCGGAGTACCGGAGTACCGGATCTGACATGGAAGCTGTCCTTGAGGAGCCCGTGCTCTTTCACAGTCACTCACTGCAACACTCCCTCTGTGTCTCCCAAAGGAGCAGTCCTGCCTCCAGTGACAGGGAGAGGGGCTGGGGAGGAGCAGATGCAGGGCATTCACCTGCTTGAAAACTGACCTAGTTAAAGCCCCCTCAAAATACAAACCCAAAATATGGTGTTTGGCGTGAGCAGTTTCCAGTTCTGCTTGTGCAGACACCAGTAAGAAGGCAGAGTGGGTTGTGGCATGAATTTTGACTGGCATAAGATGAAATTGAACCTTTATCCCAAGCAGATTTGGGAATCTAAAGCTAAAAGTTTTGGGAATATTTCAGTTAGTGAGGCACTGAGAGAAGAAGCTGCTAGTAAAAGTGAAAAGCAACTTAATCTATGAATACTTCTTCAAAGGAGTTTTGTTCTGTATTGTAAATATGCTAAAACTTCTTCCCAACTTGAACCTCCTGCTACCTCTGGAGTGCCTGGGTGCCTTTGAAGTACTGAGCAGAAAGCATTCCTCAGCAGCCTTTTAGATGAGAAATGCTTGCAAACCATTATCAACATATGGAATAGTTGGCAGGCACTAGGTATGGATCTGTGAACTTTTCATTCTTTTTTTTTTCCCCTGAAAAATATTGGAGATCTCTCTTCCCTTTGTTGAGAATGGGTTAACTCACTCACAGTTTCAGAGTCACCAAGACGGTGACGGAAAAAAGTCTGGCCTGAGGAATTCTGTGAGTAGCCAAACTGATTTCTGTGGGGTTTGCTGCTTTCCCTGTGAGCCAGACTGGCATTGGATGGGCAAGTGCTGGGGTGGGCTTGTCCTGCAGCAGCAGACTGTCTTTGTGATCTCTTGGAGAGGCAGCTGTGGGCACCGGCAGCTTTTCCAGAAATTTCATTAGGACTTGCTTTTCAGGAACCAGCAATAATTCAGAAGGATCAATTGCTTTTTGTACCCCTATAAATAATGCATTTCTTCTACGTACTCAGATGTGTACTGTCTTTGTCTCTGCCTGCAAAGCTGTTAGCTCAAGTGATCTTTTCATCATAATGTATCTCTAATTGATTTTCTTGTGGTGCTCTTAGGGCTTCATAGCATCCCTAGGTTTAACACGGTTACATATTCATGCAAGTGTGCTAGGCTTTCTATTAAGTAACACCTCAGCAAGTTTTCAGGCTTCCTTTTAATTTACTTGTGCCTAGTTTGACTTTTCAGCATTTGTAAGAAAGCTTTTTAACAATTTTGGGAGAATTTATTACAGGATGGCTAAACTGCAGAAACCCAATGCTTGATTGAACACGTTGAATGAGACGTTATTTTCCAAAACACTTAAACTTTTAAAAATCAACCTGAGCCCTATAACGTGGCACAACCGCTGTATGGGTGCCAGGTGAAGAAAACACACATATTGTTCTTGGCATGGCATTCTCAACAATTGCATTATTTAACAAGGCTGTTTCTAGTTTGAGGGAATAATTATCCCGAATCACTGTGTAGCTGTGGTAATGATGGGGGCTGAGGGTTTGGGGAAGGGCAGGGGTCTTTAGGGACCTGTAGGAGACAGATCTGTAGAAATCAGACTCTTATGTCTCATGGAACAACTTTTTCTATTTTCTCCTGTTCTCTTGTAGTCCTGTTTCTTTTGATGAAGCCTGTTGTCTGGTATGTAGAGTGCTAGGCATTATTTCCCAGAGCAATCAAACTGTCTTTACAAAGTTACTTTTACATCTAGCTTACAAATGGGAGCAACAGGGAAGGCTGACCTGGTTCTTATTCATCTGTTCTTAATAAGCTTAGATTTTCCTTCCAGAGGGTTTGCAGCAATGTCAGAGGGCCCATTAATTGGTGTGCCAGTGCTCAACTTATAAATACTTGGGAAGTATCTACACACGATATCCCCACCACTGGAGGAAGCTCTGTCTTTATCCATCCCCAAAGAGAAGCTTTATTTCAGTGTGTGTTCTCTGAATAATTTTTCTTTGTCTGTATCTTCAGCTTTGGTATCCTTAACTAATTTTTTTTTTCAACATGGTTTTCTCTTCACTAAGCCCAAAGGAGATATTGGAAGTCCCACTGGTCTCTGCTTTAACACTTTGCTTTCACTCTTGTTTCTTGCAGGCTTTTTCTGACTGCATTTTGCAGATAGCCCCTTGTACCTTCCAGTTGTTTTTTCTTTTGAAAATTCTTGTAAGTTTATGGGGTTTTTTACTATGCTCTGCAGATTCATCTCAATCTGTGGTTCATTCTTCTGTCCTGAAGGCCAGCTGACCTTTATTTTGCCTCTCAGCTCAAGCAGGTTCTTCTAAGAGTATTTTTCTATATTCTTTTTCCTCTTTTATCCTTATACAATCTGACCTCATTTTAGCAATTACACAACCTCTGCCTTCACATAACTTATTGGACCGAATGTCCTCACATCTATCATAATGTCTTTTTAAAAAAACCCCTCCCTTTTTGTTTTGCTTTACAGTGTTTGTTGATTTCGTTTGGCTTCCTTTTTTTTTTTTTTTTTTTCACTGAGCAAATCAAATTCTTTACTAACAGAATTCCCTCTCTACATTTCTTTAGTCAGAGATGGGATTAGTTTCACTGCATGAAACTGTAGGCTGCTAACTAAACCTAAACTTTTTGACAGTGCTACCAAAAATACATTTCTCCCATCAGGGCCTCCTCCAGCTGCTGCTATTTCTGTACAGTCTGAGTAACTCCATGATGTGTCCCACTCACCGGATTTTCTTTTCTTTCCCAGATTGACTTTTGGATTGGTTTTCTTTTCCCCTCCTCCTCAACTTTTAGCTCTACTTGCTCCAGTTAACATGTGGCACCTAGGCAGTTTCCTGAGCTGACACATGATTGATAAGACTCATAAGTAATGCAAAAGCTTCATTACATATCTGGGAAGACAATTTGCAGGACTCCTGTCTATCTAAATGCTATCAACTGATGTAAAAATTAACATAACCCTCTAAACCCTGTCAATTCAAGATCATCGTGGAAGGTGGTGTTTGCCAAGAGAAGCAGCTCCTTGCAGTGAGTAGTACAAGGGACATGGACTTGGTAGGCAGGTGATCTAGTTCCGCATCTGCAGAGGTTTTGTTGGGGAACCCAGGCAAATTTGGAAGTGTTGACTTCTACAAGTGAAACATAGATAACAGCCAAGTAATACTATTGTTATCTAACCAGGGTCAGGTGTCTGTTCAGTGCGTATTCCATGGGCTGGCACACTTAGAGGGCAGAAAATTCCATGCCTGGGTTTGAGCATGGGCAAAAAGAAAATCCAAACCCTTTAGGACTTGTTTTCTTCCCTGAGGATTTGGAAACCAGACAACTTTCTGGGCTGTGAAATGGTGACAACAGTCCAGGAATTCCTGCACAGTTTGGGCTTCCTTGTCAAGACTACTGTTAAGCAACCTGTCAGAAGCTGATAATCTTTTTCTTCTTCCTCCCTTTCCATGTGCTGGCCTCCCCGTTGGGGTGCTCTTTATTTTGCTCCTTGCATGTCTCTTGCCTTGCCTCAGTGTCTCACTAGGGTTCATGTGCATTTTGATGTATTCAGCAGCCTCTCATGATTTTATTTGTATCACTCAGGACCATAAGAGGTTGAGGTCTGAATGTTGTTTATTTTTTCGACCAAATCAGAACCTTTCAAAATTGCTTTAATTTATATTAATTTTTTTTAATGCTGTGCGTGCATCTGTGAGGAGATTGCTCTTTTCTTTTTGAAGTCCCAACAACTAACAGCAGAGGACAGTGCCAGGAAGCTATCTCACACACTGAGGAGGACCATTTTGAGAGCTGTGGTGATGTTCTCCAATCCTACGTGGAAGGGCTGAGGAGATGGCAGCAAGCACCACAGACTGCAAGAGATGGATGGGACTCTGGGAATACGCCACCCTACTGGTCCTCAACCACGCATGCTCTGATGAGGAGGCAGCAGTATCCAGCAAACAGCTTCTGGTAGGAGGTGAGGTTCAGCTGGGGTACACTGGGAAACTCCAAGTCATAGGCAATTACCCCTGGTTAGAAGATAAAATACTGTTCTACAGGCTCTTTAAGCCAAAACTTTTTTTTTTCCTGATGAATAATTCATAGTTTTCTAGTCTCCAAACCACTGTGCTGCTCCTTTAACCTCTATACAGGCAGAGAAGACAATTCAGGCTGACCAGAAAGGCAGTCTCCAGTTTCAAGCAGGTTCTCGGCAGTATCAGATCAACGTCAAAGGTGAAATATCCATTTGCTCGATGTCTAATGCAGGTGGGATGTGACTGGCACTGCAGTGCAGCAAGTCCTGGGAGAGGGCTTGCAGG